TAATAATCAATAACGAAACACGAGTAAGTTATTAAACAAACAACTTGTATTATTCGTTTTCCGTTGTATTTATATAACACCGCGTTAACACAACGCAGACAGCACCGGACGCGAATGGATATGCAAGTCGGTCTACGAGAGAGGTCCATGTCTCCGACAACTCACGTGGTAAATCGCGAATAACTTTTGTAGGGATTGAGCACAAACGAAGGGATTTGCTGCACAAACGGAGCACAAACGAATGCCCCGGGTTTGAATCCAAAATTTCAATTGGGCGGTGCCGGAGACATGGACCTCTACGAGGACTCGTTCGAACGGACTCGAGGCGCACCGCGAAATCGAACGAAACACATAGGGACGCCACACGCGTACACATGTGGATACGACGAACGAACAACTTCGTATGACCATTACTATTGTTAACTGTTATTACCGTTTTATTGTCACCGTCGCACGTGCATAGGTGTCCGTACCGCGTACGGTCGCCAAAAATTCGTTTTACCTAAAGCCGTTTCGGGCGCGACAAAGTCGAACGTACGAAACGAACGGGATTCGCGAAAAACGAAATAGCGTTTAGCAACGATTACGTTTTTTTTTACTACCGGTTTTCCATTGACAATAGTCTTCCGGTCGGTTATCGCCCGGCGATCGTCGAACCCTGCGCAGGTCCGATGGGCGTACCGAGCCGGGCGTCCGATGGCTAAAACGAAACACGTTATTGTCATTGGACCCAATGTCGACACAGAAAATCGTTGTCACCGTAAAAGCTTTCCGAATGGTTTTTTATCCGACTGTATTATTTCGAAAACAAAATCAACGGGGATCCAACGCGGGGATAAATCGTTATCACGCACCAGATACTTCTAAACCGTACAACTATACTTAGTGCGGCAATAATGATATTTTTCGCATTCGTTCGCGTTCGACGGTTCAAAACTCGCCACTGAATACGCATAATCTGCACCGCAGCCGTATGTTGTTTTCGACGATAAGTTTTAGTCAAATCAGCCGTTGTCATTATTCACCCGCATGGGCTTTTAATAGTTTTGAACGGATAAAACACAACCATGTACACCATATACATATTTGTTCGAACCTACTTGTCCACCGAGATTCCAATTAAACATTTTCCCAGTTCAATTGAAGCGTTTTCGATTTTAGTGGCTGCGCAATACGTTTGGCGCCACTAAATATTATAATATGCACGAGACGAATTGTTTTTACGAACGTTTTGTCTTGGCACTATTTGCAATCATTTTTACGTACGAATTTCAACGCCGTTAATTAAGAACCCTCTGGGAGATATTTTTTTTCGCCAAACAATAACGCTTACCGAAAACACCGGCAGATTATCTTTAGCCCGAGTTTTCTCGGCTTTCGCCACCTGGTTGTTTCCATCCCAATATCATTCCTCGACATCCGGTCCCTTACACGTTTTGCTCTAATACGTTTTCCACACTGCGTTATGATATATTTATCTTTTTTTATCAGCTATGTTGACTTCCTCGTTTAAATTTGTGTACTATTCTTATCGCATGTACTTGTGATTCTACTGTGCTTTAAGTTATACTCCAATGCTGTACCGTAAAAAATAAAAAAAGGATTTATATGCTATCCCTATACATACTTCCCTCTATAACGTTGTTATTTCAAAACTAATTAGTCTTTACTTAAAAACAAAACTTTTTTACATAATAACAAAAGCAACTAATCGAAATGCGATATATAATCGTCCCTTACAGTCCATCGTCAGTTTTCAAGAGGATTATTTTGATAACGAACATTTCCGTCAACGACCTTTCTTATTCAGTATATACTGAATTGTATTTTATACAAAACGGATAGTTCATCAGTTAATAGAATGTTTAAATATATTTATTAAAATCAGCTGTTACACATGTCACATAGGTTGTTTTTTATATCACTGGTCTCGGTCACAACGGACGAGTTAAAATTATTTTCATGATTGATTACTTGTGAGTTATAAGTATTTTGCGTCACATAGCATATTTTAAGATCATTGTAATTTTAAAACCATTTTAACAGTACAAAGACTCAAAATTAAATAATAATAATGTATAAGATTAGCAAGTGTGAGTTACTATGTAAATTAGGATAATAAAATAAAAATATAGACAGTGAATATTATGCAGGTTCTATTTTTGGAATGATCTTCAAATCGTACATCTGTAAATTGTTATTAATGACGGGTGTAAATAAAAATAAAAAATAAATTATATTAATTGTAAAACCGAATAATTATTAAATTATTAGATAGAAGTATATAAAAAAAAAAAAAACAAAAACGAATAACCCATTAAATAATATACAATAGTTAATTTTTTTATTCGCGTTTTAAAAGAAACGTTTCAAGTCCCTTAAATAGTATGATTGTCAGAACTATACTTAAAGCAAAATGACCGAGATCGATTTCGCTAAAAACGAATGCAATTTAAAGAGTGCTCATGCTTTTTTTCCCGGCTCACTCGAAAAATACTATCGAAGTATAATCCACAACTGATTTCCAATAAATAAATAATAACGGGGCTTTACAAACTTTCCACGTATTATTTATCCCGTGTACTGTTAAGTATTAATTTTGATGTATCGAAAACGTTTCAACAACGTAGCGGATTTATAAAAAAAAAAAATTTTAAAAATTTTAAATTAAAAAAAAAAAATGTATTAAAAAAAATTATTATAGTTACCAACTTGTTTCAAATAATGGCTTTCGGTAGAACGAGGATAAAGCAAAACGCTCTCGTTCTTCAACGATTCCGTACCGTGTTAGGCTGACCGTTTATAACAATAAAATAGCTGTAATTGAGCTAACACAAGTCGAATACGTTTCGACTTTGCGCAACAATATACATTGAATTAATAAATGCTAAAACACGTGAACACGTATCGGAGTCATAATCGCGTGAATGCGTTGTATGTTAACCACGTGAATAATTTCTATTTATGTAAAAATTTATAACATTTACTACCTACTTGTATCACATTGAAAATAAATTTATTTTACAAAAAGAAATAGTTGTCAACTAATGATTTCTAGATTGTTGTCGTATATTGCATTACAAAAACCTTAAGATGAAGTACGCGAAGACAGAAATTCGCGAGTACACGTGAATAATATTATAAGTTCACGAACAGATTCAGCAACGGGTCTTAAAAACCGAATCTTAATTTCAAGTGAAAGCGTGTACACGTGCAACAACGAATACTAGATGTAACGTTGACGGGTAGTTTTTGATATATTTGTACTGATACTAGTGCAAGGTCGTTAGTAAGCTTCGGGCAGGGGTACCTGGAGCTTAGGGGTTTTTTTTAGTAAACCAAAAAAAGGTGAGTAAAAACATCAAAAACATATTTCGTATGATGGCTTTTGTGTAGCCGGAAGATAGGAGTTGTTGATTAATTTTAAAGAAAAATCTTTTGAAATAATGAGATGAAAATAAAAATATACCTAATGCAACCGCACACAATTAAACGTTCATTATTTATTTGACATTAACATTTTAACATTGCTATTTATCTTAAATTTTTATTTTTTTTCGTAGGCAGTCTTATTAATACGTTACAGATTAAAATTCAAAGTTATAATTTCTATTATTTCTATTAATCGGGGCCCCCAGTCAGATGGGGACCCTGGGCACGTGCACCAACTGCCCGTAGTGTAATGATGGAACTGTATTAGTGCATAAGCTTTCCAAGTTGCAAACATGATTTTCGCAGTGTACGCAAAGATATCAAGATGCCAAAGTCAAGTATAAAAGCTTCATGATCGTCCATCGGTGACATCAGTCGGAAATACTTGCCAATGCTCCGGGACGTCTGTCGATAATGTGTAAACACGATGATGGCGTACGTGTCTACGACAAATCCGACCAGTTCGGATCGAATGATTTAAACATATTTTTATTGTACACACCTGGACGGGGTGTATTATTTTGAAATCGAATCTAACGCGCAAAGCGACCGTAAACCGGGCGAATCGATCCCGACGATTTCGCTGCAGATCTCAAGTGTTATGTTTATTTATCGTAACGCCGTGCACGTGATAAACGTAGAAGCCCGTGTGCAAACGCGCACCGTAAAATTTTAATTATTTACCGCACAGTTGACGCTGACGATTTATGGAATTTTAATAAAGTTTGCACGGTTTCACTTGTACCGCGTGAACACCGGAAGTACGCAGTCAAAAGCATCGTCGTGCAGTCAAACGATTTCGTTTGGTCGTGGAAAAAATTACGTACACACACGTGTACATAACACGTAAAGGTACGACGCATAATGTGATACGCATCAAAGTTTTAGTTCATTAACGTGCCGCAGTCGAGTAATCACACCTAGGAAGAATTTAAAAAAAAATCGTTCGGACACGGTTTGTCGCAATCACGCGCGTTAAAACGGTACAACGTATTACTGTGCACACGAATGCGAATACTATTACTTTGAACCCCGCGTCGTAATAATAATACAATATAATAATATGTAATAATATAATTACGCGCGTGCATACGTTTGTATACTGTGTGTGTGTGTGTGTGTGTGTGTGTGTTGGCTTTAATGATATATCATTAATGTTTCACAAAATATTATTTTCACACTCGTTTCGAGCAAAATTATTTATTATCATTCCGCAAAAACTCACGTGGAGGTCAAAGCAGTCGCATAGGTACCTAACCTATACCTACCTACACACATAGTCGCTTGCAGCGCGTGTAATTAAAAATCAAACCGCCAGCGGATGCGTTTTTTTCTATCCGCGATCCCCTCCTCTCGTTTTCGCCTCATTTGGTATGTGTCATTGGATTTGGCGGAAGACTCTCGGACGGGGGAAAAAAAGAGAATCGAACGCGAACACGATCAAGGACGACCGGTGCGTTTAGCATCGCGAAAATTAAATACTCGTTTCCCGGGACAAGGATTCGTACTGATAATACTACGTTTTCGCACAAGATAATTCATCATATTAATGCTAGATAAAATCTTACGTTCTTTCCGTGAGTTCGGTCGCCCACCTTAGCGATTTTTCGGCAAAACAAACATTGAACGGAGTCCGTCACGAATCCCAAATGATCCGTTTTCTGCCATAAACTTCGCAACGAAAATAGAGCCGATTCTCGGCATCTTAACGCAGGTCCATACGATATCGTACAAATAATCGCACCGCAGAACGATGACATTTGTTGAAATTCGTGCATTTTCCCAACAAGGGCTCGATTATTGTCATTCAACTGTCGAAAACGTTCCGAGACGTCCGAGTCGAGCACGAACCAGAGCAGTATAATATTTATCTCTCCCTCTCTCTTTCGAACCGTTGAAAATAATAATAAAATTGACCTTAAAACGCGATGCGCTAACAACGATAATAACAACGGCGCGTGCAGTGAATCGTGCGAACTCCGTTTTTAAATGTTATTATGCGTTTTACATTGGTCGTGCGTGCGTTGCATATTTTACACTATCTACGACACATGGTCCGGTTAACGCGCGGTTTATTTTTACGCCGCGTGGGCCGAGTGCACGACAGGAGACTCCAGTGACCTCGATACGCGCGTACAGCTGTTGCTAAGCCGCGGCAAACGTCTCGATTTCGAGTGCGTCGTTGCTCAAGTACACGTGCTTACGAAAACCTTTGCGCCGAGCTCGCCTTTCGGGACGCTAAAGGATCGGATCCGAAGGATCGCATTGTTGCCGAACAGGAAACGAAGTTTTTCCGCTGCCGCAATGAAAACGAAAACGATACGGTTATGGTTTTTAGTTTTTCATTTAAAATATGTACATATATATAGAATAAAATAGATTATTATATCGAAGCGTTCGACCGACAAAGGATATTATTATTATTATTATTATAATTATTATTTTTTTTTTTTTTGTGCACTCGGTACACCGATTCAATACTTATTTTCGTAAAACGTTGTACGCATTTTGAACGCGACTCGATTTTTATCGAAAAAAGTTGATTTCGATCGGTATTCAATATCAGACACGTCATCAACGAAACTGCATAGCGATCGAAGACCCGGTAGGAGGTAGTCTGCCCTGGACGCTTCGGCCAAGTACCGGCGAACGAACGCGGTATACCCCATGCGTATTACCGTTTGTTTTGCAAATCGTTCCTGTTGGACCCGTTGCAAAATCCGTCGGCAAAACCTATTGCGACCAGGTTACTACTTTTCCGGCTGTTATTGATGTATCCTAATTTATATCTCGACCATAATAATCCGAAAACGACCGATCGAGAAGAAGATTTTCACACCGTTTCTTGATGCTCCGTATGAAAATATTAAGATCACACTTCATTCCACACCGGTCGACGAATATTATTACCTATATCGATGTATCGGTACTGCTCGTATACGCGCTCAGCCGATGAATACCTGCGTACATAAATGCGTGGTGCACGCGGATTTCTACGCGCATAAATGTTATTTCGTTCATTGCTTTGCGAACGCCACCATTTTTGCCGTTATCGTAATTTTTTAATTATTCATAGAGGTGTGTTATCTCAATGTTACGCTACTTTAAACGCATCGAAATATTATGTTTACCTTGAACCCCGCAGGCCTTACAAATATTTATGCTAGGATATTATACTATACGCCGTTAGGAAAAATACGATAGAATACGTTACCGATATTCTTATCGAGGCTGGGCACTCCAATAATCAGGGCTCGTCTCCCACGTTTTCTCAATAACAAACTAGGCCATTAATTATTAATTAATAAACATTCGGATTGTATAGTCCTATAACATCTTAATGTGCCCTGATAATCAGCAGAAATAAAGAAAAACAAAAAAAATGACGCAAATTAGATAACCGTTAAATTATAATTGTACCGAGAAAATGAAATTCATCGAAATTCTAGTCTTACAGGTAAAATCATGTCAGTATTTGAACTTGCAGCCGAGTTAACAACAATATCGTTACATTTCAATGACTTCAGAAAAAATTGAAAACTGATGAAAGTAAAATCGAAAAAGGTTTTTTAATCCTCATTACTCATTACATGTCAAGGAAAATATAACAGAAAGTTCATTGCAGTTCGTTACGTTTTCAAATTGTTATAACAGCTCATACTAAAAAAATCGTTCTCCTGAACAATTATGAAAATGTCACTTATCACATTTGTGCGCTACGCCATCGATATGATTGATAATATTTTAACATCCGATCCCGGTGATTCCCGCGCTATTCAGGGCTGTCCCAAAGATTAAAATCAAGGGGGGGGGGGTGAATAATATGAAAAATGCCGACTGCAATTTTTTCTACTCAATGTATGAAGTATAATTATATGTGGTCGTATTTTTACTTTTTAAATGCATATATGTTTCAGTTTCGTACGTTCTTAAAATTGACAATTTAACAATTTAACTAACAATTTATTAATTAATAATTTAATTAATTAACAATTTATATATATATAATAATAATATTTTGTATTATAAAATAAGTAGTTATATAAATTGTATTCGTGTATACACTGTACTACGGAAACATGTAATATTTGTTTTTCGTAAGTTAAATTAGGTCTTTTTAGGCTATAATGAAACAAGGCCGATTGGTGTTTTCGTTGCGGAGGGTGAGACACCCCTCAAGACTCCCCTTCAGAACGGCCCTGTCGCTATTCGTTATAGGCGCTCGCAATACAAATACGCACCGTTACACGCGTTTAGTACGAGCACATGGTTAAGGTTACGCGTGATGCGTATACGTTTGCAGGAGAGTGTTATTAGAAAAACGTCCACACGCTAATTTTCGGGTGCACGCGTGTGATATTCCGATAGGAAAAAATGAATACACAACAAACAACAAAAAAACCGCGCGGAACTATGGCCACGTAAAATTGTCGTACACACGCGTTGTTAAACGGTTCCGGGCGTATAATAATAAAACGTATACGCGATGCGTTCGAACGCCGGGGACGTGGAATGTTGGGCGAGCGATGCACATGCACAGCGTTTACTTATCGACCCGATTACGACTCTCGCCCGCACCCTTCGGGAATAATAACACTACCGATAAGCGTTATTACCGTTTGCGAGATATTATGACGATCATGACCGGCCAGGATGGAGGAGGAGAAGCCGTACAACGACATCGAGAATGAAAGACCCCCGTGAAAATAATATGCCCACGTTCGGATATTGGTGGAGCTAACCTCATGAATACCCCGTTCGGAAAGAATAATTTTACCTCGATACAAAATTGTATGTGTCGTATACTTGCACGAATCGAACTCGAGTTGGTACATTCAAAGCGAAAACGTACTCGGTAGTTATAGATTTTTTCAAAAAGTACATAGTTAAAAATTCACATCGAATGATGCTGGCAGGTGCGATCATTAAAAACAAGCCTGAGCTAATCTCGATCTAACATCTAAAAACATTCAATTAAGGATGCTATTATATTGTCGCATTAAAGAAAACGCTACATAGCTTAGTTGTCTTTTATTTTAAATGTTTTCGAATATCGCATCGTCGAAATGTTCGTTTTGCCATTGGCGCATTTTGGGGAGCTTAGGGGCTTTGTTCCCCCCCCACAAATTATTGCCAAGATCCCCGAAAAAATATCACTATTTTTCTAAAAACGAGTTGATTGAAAGGACTTGAACCCTCTCTCTTCTCCTCCCCCCCCCCAAAAAAATATGTGATACTCGCACCTACGTTTGTTACGAAGTTTATACGTGTTAACGTTAAAACAAAAAAACGTGTAACTGTGGATAGTTATTGGACAGCCCGTGTTCGATCGATGTTTGTCCAAATGATCGAGTCTCAAACATCGTTGCGCACACCTCCTTTTACATGGGTGTAACAAGTGAAGTATAAATATAATAATAAAAACACACGACAACTCGGCGATAAATCAACGGCTATTAGAAATATGATTTAATAATAAATGTTGGTGTACTATGTAACGTATGATTTATCTGCCGTTAAGATAGTTTTATTAACACATCGTGTCCCACGGACCATTATTGATCGATGGAGCGTTGTTGATCGTTTTATAGACATGTTATTACAATATTTAATGATCATTTACACCGTTACACGCGACGAGGACGGGTTCTATCATTGATTGGAATGATTCCACACATCGTGGCAGTCGCCCACGTGAAACGTTGAAATTTCTCTGATTTTTTTAAACGCACCGTGAAAATAATTCACACGGAAGCAATAGCAGTGTTATCTAAAAGCTTCGGAGGTTACGTAAAAGTCACACCGATGCATAGAAAATGTATAAAACAGTTAGTTAGTTAGCTTATACGAATATTATACCATAGCGGTGGACAACGACGGCGACGGTTATTTTTACGAGTCCTATTTCGTTTTCCTTAAAATCGAATTCATAATAACCCACAACGTGTGCGCTAGAGTACACGGTAACCGTCATCATTTCGATAATCATAGTGTGTAAGTCGTCGTTTGAAATAATTGCTTGAATTCGCTGCGAACGTCGTTGGTCGCTTTTGGCACTCATTAACTAACATTCGATATTATAATAAATTATTATTATGCCGTGTGCAATATGCGAAATCGATTTTCCGATCATAAATCGACCAACAACGTTATTGACGTTATTTAAGAGTGATGGTATGCGTTCGGGAAGGTGGTTAAAGAAGGAATCCATTAAACAACTTCGAACAAATATAAATCAAACATTTATAATAATACTCAATACGCGGGATTTATGTATACATATTTACTCGTATATATTGGAGTTGTATCTTGTGTACGCATGCACTGGCTGAATGATAGTCGGTATGCGTAAATCACACGTGGACATGGTCGGTCGGAAGGGGAAAAGACCCCGACACGTTTCGTATGTGATATAATACACAACGACGACTCACTCTCTTTCTTTTTTCCTCTATGATCGATGAAAAACAGAAATCTAAATCATCACAAAATTCATCATGCATAATACACCTAATAATAACATACACCACACGATTGACTGCGTTGTAAAATATTATAGTTATTATCATTATCCTCAGTAGTAATAGTAGTTGTAATATTTACTCGACCGCAGGCGATAACTGAACCCGGGTAATAACAACAATATTGTACGTACATATCCGTAGGCGCGAGCACGCGTGTTATTAATTACAAGAAGTTAGAAGTACGCAAGTAGGTACACGTATAGGCTCATCGTGTACAAACAGTATCAGATATGTAAAACCGTATCTCTTTAATGCGCGTACCGAGTTAACGTA